TATATTGTCTGATGAGGGTTAACATTGCTAGATACAGCAGGCGTTAGCAGGTTATGATACTAAGTCTGATTATAGTTGACATCAATAGATACAGCAGGCGTTAGCAGGTTATGATACACTGTCTGATTATAGTCGGCACAACTAGATACAGCAGGCGTTAGCAGGTTATGATATATTGTCTGATGAGGGTTAATACTACTAGATACAGCAGGCATTAGCAGGTTATGATACACTGTCTGATTATAGTTGACATCAATAGATACAGCAGGCGTTAGCAGGTTATGATACACTGAATGATGAGGGTTAACATTGCTAGATACAGCAGGCGTTAGCAGGTTATGATACACTGTCTGATTATAGTTGACATCAACAGATACAGCAGGCCTTAGTTGGTTATGATATATTGTCTGATGAGGGTTAACACTACTAGATACAGCAGGTTTTAGCTGGTTATTATACACTGTCTGATGAGGGTTAACATTGCTAGATACAGCAGAACCCCCTCTGCCCCAAACAAACATTTTTACACCCTCCCAAGTAAATTAATATATTATATAAACACCAATGCTGCCTATTAAGTTGACTCTGAAGGTTCTTACAAGGAACGTAATGAATGTTGTCAGTGTTATAATACTTCAGCTCATCATGATTATATTGATTTAACTTTGCTAAACACTACCAGCTTCATCAGGTGATAGTATATTACCCGATGACATTGGACATTTCTCATCTGATTATCTTAATTTGATTAATGAGCTCTTTAGCTGCTTATATTTTGCCTTTTGTAAATTCATTTGCTTTTTGGTTGCATTGGAAATAAATTATAATGGGGTTTCATTTACAGCAAATTTAGTTCCAAAAACCATGATTTTCATAGCTTGACTAAAAAAATTGGTAAATATATACATATAATGGTAGTTTGAAACATGAACTCAGTTTCTGATGGTAATGAACAGAAACTTACTGTGTTTTGTAATTGTTGTTAGCTACACCATAGTCCAAGCTGTGATGATGAACCGTTAAAGTATAAATAACGTTTCAGCTAAAGGGCAACTCATGAATTGTTATCATTGTAGCAAGATAGTTTATACAGGACTGTACACTATCTATTTAACCCAGTCACTGTAATAGTACTAGTGACACAGAGAATTTTTAATAATAAAACAATGTGTACACAAAAAACTACTTTTTTTTTTTATCAAGACTTGCCTGCTACATATATATACATATAAAAGTATGTGTAATAGTCAGTATAAAAATAGACCAAACATTTGGTTGAAATATTTTATTTGTAACATATGTGAAGGACCCAAGCAGCAGTTAATAGAATTAATTGCAGTTCTAATGGTATTTTAATAAATATCTTTTTGTGTGTGTGTGAGACATGTTATTAGGGACAAACAAAGACATGGACCCACAAGCAGTTTGTTGTATCAGTAACTTTAAAAAATGATGGATCTCGTCTGTAATTTTATGGGTAAAAATTTGTGTTAAGTTTTTAATGCTTATTTTTTTTTATACCTTAAGGAAGATCTTGAACTAAATGTAAATTCCTGTATGTATCTTGTAGTGTTCTACAAATTGATGAACAGTAAGCATGTCTTCAACTAAATGTAAATTCCTGTATGTATCTTGTAGTGCTCTACAAACTGATGAACAGTAAGCATGTCTTCAACTAAATGTAAATTCCTGTATGTATCTTGTAGTGCTCTACAAACTGATGAACAGTAAGCATGTCTTTAACTAAATGTAAATTCCTGTATGTATTTTGTAGAGCTCTACAAGTCGATGAACAGTAAGCATGTCTTCAACTAAATGTAAATTCCTGTATGTATTTTGTAGAGCTCTACAAGTCAATGAACAGTAAGCATGTCTTTAACTAAATGTAAATTCCTGTATGTATTTTGTAGAGCTCTACAAGTCAATGAACAGTAAGCATGTCTTTAACTACATGTAAATTCCTGTATGTATTTTGTAGAGCTCTACAAGTCAATGAACAGTAAGCATGTCTTTAACTACATGTAAATTCCTGTATATATTTTGTAGAGCTCTACAAGTCAATGAACAGTAAGCATGTCTTCAACTAAACGTAAATTCCTGTATGTATTTTGTAGAGCTCTACAAGTCAATGAACAGTAAGAATGTAGCTTCTTCTAGTGTTCAGCCACCTCTTGAGCTTCCATGCGAACCTGATTTGTTGCAGCTAATTAAAGCATTTACCCCACAACTGGAGAAATTAGGCATTACCATCACTTACGAAGCATCACAAAACTCGATGGTTAAAGTGCACACTGTTCCCTCTTGTATGCTGGAAAAAGAAGTGAATGAAGTAAAGCGAGGAAGGAAACCAGTCATAGCCGAGTTGGTAGAGGTACGTAATCCTAACCTCTTCTGTTGAAACGTAATCCTTCTATTTCTAGTTTCTTTTTTTAGAGACATGATGTTATACGTACTGTTACTGTGTTTTATATAAGTATTTACGTAACTGAATTAGTAGAAAATAGTATAATATTTAAATTACAGAGTTAAGTACAATAACTTGTTATTTTAGCTTTTATTCGTAGTACTAATCTATATAAATAAAAGCTACTGTCTGTTGCAATGTTGTAGTGCTAAATATAGAAATGCGGAATGGGTTTTTAAAGTGTTATTAGTAGTAGTAATAGTAGTAGTATTTATTATGTTACCTGTACATAAAAAAAAACAATATTTCAGAAATAGTAGCAATAATTGACATCTACGTTTTAAAATTTTACAGTAAAGAAAATAAATTTTGTTACACATTGAAGTACTAAATGAGATTTAAATGGTGACAGTACAGTGTTCAGGCCAAACAAAAAGTAACAGTGCGCCATGCCAACGCGTTCCGACCCCACTACTCCTCTGGTCTGTTGGTAATGCTCAAATTGCCTCAGTGGTTAGAGCAATCAAACCTCAAGCAGAAGTTTTGCATTCAAATACCAGTAC